AGCACCCACAGCAGCACCAGAGTCACCAGCGACCTCGACAGGCTCGACCGCGTCTACCTGGGACACACCTGAAGGGGCAGGACCCTGAGGGGGGAGGGGGTCTACCGGGGGGGGACCTGGTACCAAGAAGAGCGGGGGTGGGGGGAGAGACGGAGTGCGGTAGGGGAAGAGGCGGTAGTAGGGTACCGACTCGTCGAACGTGACGTCCTGGGAGGACAGAACACGGCAAGAGGTGGGGTGGTAGAAATGCCACCCAGGGGCGTCGGGGGGGAACCCCAGGAAAACGGAGGGAGCAGCTTGTCCGCAGACAAGTCGGGGACAAACGCCCGAGATCCCCAGACCCGGAACGCCGACGCATCGCCAACCTTCCCCGTCCACAGCAGGGCTGGGGAGGTCTCCGGCCTGGAGACCCTGGGGTGGAGGTTGATCTGATGCGCCGCGTACCTGACAGCAAACGACCACAGAAAATGGGGGGCAGCCGCATGCATCATAGACGTACGAGCTACGTCCATGACCATGCCAATGCGGCGCTCAGCAATCCCATTTTGCTCTGGTGAGTCCGGAAGCGTGAAGGTCTGGCGGATGCCTCGCGCACGACAGCATGCACGCAGAAGGCCAGAGGAGAACTCTCCGCCTCTGTCCGAGTGCAGACGCAACACAGGAAAGTCCGAGCCAAAGCTCTGCCTGAGCTGGAGACGAGCTGCGCGGATCCAGTCGATCAGCACCTCAGTGACATCACCCTTGCTGCGCAAGGGGAAGACTGTGGTGAAACGCGAGTAGTCGTCAACCACCAACAGGAATTAGCGCTCGTGACCGAGTCCACGGACGCGCGCAGGGCCCCACACGTCCATGTGAAGCGTCTGCAACGGAGCCTCTGTCGGAGGAAACTGGGAGGAGTGAGGGGCAGCACGCTGGCGCCCCTCGACACAGGGGACACAGGCAGGGCCACGGCCGTGAGGAAGGGGAGGGAGGGACCAGGGGAGACCAGACACAAGAAGACGGGAGGCCATGCCTCTGAGCCGAAGCAGAGAGGGGTGGCCAAGGTGGTGGTGCCAGAGGAGGGTCTCGTGAGACAGACGGCGACATGAACAGGGGGCAGACTCAGGACCAGACCTGGATGCTGCAGCAAACACCTGACCAGACGAAGAGACCCTACCAGACTCAGCACCTAGAGGAGAAGCAGTGGTCAGTGTGTACAGGCTCGACCCTGGCTGACGTGTAAACGTAGCCAGGTGGCGACCTGTGCTAGCCTCTGTGCAGTGTGTCACCCGCTGACGAGCAGGAGTGAACTGGTGGACACCCGTATCCTGTACGTCAGCACCACTTACCAGGTTTGTAGAGAACGAGGGGAGGTAGAGACCAGTCAGGGTGCCAGAGGGAGCCGCCGGACACGGGAGGACTGTGGAGAAACGAGACAGGACAGGACCCCCAGAGGGGTCAGCCAGGGACACCACAACCGGCCGACTAAGCGGCGTGAGAGTGGTGCGGTCCCGAAAGAAGGAGCGAGACGCCCCAGAGTCGAGGGTGAAGGTGTGGGAGGCCGAAGCCGACACAGTACCTAAGAGTGCAGACTCACTAGTACCTGAGAGCACAGACGCACTGGCACCTAGAGCAGCAGCCTCACTGGCACCTGACGCAGCAGTACCAATACCCGGGTCGGGCGGGAAACACCGGTAACAGTCACCCTCATCACTAACAGTCACAGCATACATGGCAGCAAGGATAGCATCATAGTCAAGATCAAAGATAGCTACACCAGCCCTAGACAGCTCTCCCGAGCGGGGGATCTCAGAGGCCTCCGAAAACTGCTGGCGCCAAGCGTCGGTCAAGCGGGCAAAGCAGCGGCGGGCGGTGTGGGTGCCCCCACACTGCTCACCCGCGCGGTCGCCGGTGCGAAGGACGTAGGTGCAGGGGCCGAACGCCCCACCACGCTGACGCTGCGAGTACCACTCACGGAGCTGATGAGGGGCGGGGATGTGGCGAGAGCGCTGCTGCTGCTGCTGCTGGCGCTGACCACCCGCAGTGCTGCTTCTCTGCGACGTGCCACTCCGGCCACCTCCACCACCGCCACCCCCGCCACCGCCGCCACCGCCACCCTCGCCCCCGCCGCTCCCACCGCCACCTCCGCCACTACCACCGACTCCACTGCCGCCACTAGTACCTCCACTCCCACCACCACCTCCACCGCCACCCCCACTCCCCCCGCCGCCCCCACCTCCTACGCCACCGCCCCCGCTAGCTCCACCCGCTCCCTTGCCTCCCTTGCCCCTGCCAGAGCGGCGCCTACCGCTGGGGGCAGACGCAGCACCGACCGACTCCAAACCAGCGAGGTCGGCCGTAGTAGCAGAGGCGACAGAGGGCAGTAGGGGGGAGGGAGAACACCCCTCAAAGATGGGGGTGCGAGTGTCACCACGAGAGGCCCCTACAGCGACTAAACTCTTCTCAGCCGCTAGCAGGGACTTCTCAAGGAGGTCGACAGTGAGGGTGGTGGGACAGACAGAGAGAAACTGGTCCCTAACGGCACGAAGGGACTCAGGGAGACGGGTGACTAGAAAGTAGAGAGTGATGTACATGGGAGGAGGGTTTGCGGCGCGGAAGTAAGCAGGAAGCGCAGCGCGGTAGCGAGTCTCACTAGCGTGGAGGCGGGTAAAGAGGTCAGCGACTGTGGGAAAGGCAGCGAGGTCAGGGAAGAGGTACGGTAGCATGAGGCGGCTCAGCGTAGCGGAGGAAGGGGAGGAGTAGCGCGCAACTACAGCGTCGTACAAGGCCTGAGCGGTCTTGCACTGACTAAAGTGCGCACGCTCGGATGAAGGGAGGTGTCGACGCACAGCAAGACGTGCAGCAGCATCGCGTGTGGCCCACTTGGAGCGAACAGTAGGGTCAGCATCAGCAGGAGGGGCAGGGACAGCGCCAGAGACAAAGTCAAAGAGAGAAACCTCATCTATCGCATCGCACAGTAAGTACAGCTGCAGGTCCTCGACCCAGACTGCAAAGTCAATGGCGCGACCCTCAGCATCAAAAGTCAGGACACTGGGGGTGGCCATTATAGCAGCTGACAGTCTCACCGGGCAGGAAGAGTTGGGTAGCTCAGTAGTACAGTAACACGACAGTGCAGCGGCTGCGCCGGTCCAGGAGCAGCAGCAGCCCCACAGGAGCAGGAGCTCGGGCGGCTCGGGCAGCTCGGGCGGCTCGGGCTGCTCGGGTGGTTCGGGCGGCTCGGGCTGCTCGGGCGGCTCGGGCTTCTTGCGGGCGGCGCACGGGTGACTGCACGGGAGGCTGGGGCGGCTCACGGGCAGCGCGCGGGCGGCTCACGGGCGGCTGGGGCGACTCACGGGCGGCTGCACGGGCGGCTGGGGCGGCTCGCGGGCTGCTCACGGGCGGCTCGCGGGCTGTGCACGGGCGGCGCGGGCGGCTCACGGACGGGCGGGTGGCTCGCGGACGGTCGGTGCACGGGCGGCGCCAGCGGCTCACGGGCGGGCTCGTGGCGCACGGGCGGGCGGCTTACGGGCGGCGCCGGCTCACGGTCAGGCGGCGCGCGGGTGGGCGGCTCACGGGCGGCGGCTCACGGGCGGCGGCATCGCAGACGGCGGCGGCGCACGGGCGGCGTCTGACGGGCGGCTGCTTACGGGCGGCGGCTGACGGGCGGCGCTCACGGGCGGTGGCTAACGGGCGGCGCTCACGGGCGGTGCTCACGGGCGGTAGCTCACGGGCGGCGGCTCACGGGCGGCGGCTCACTGGCAGGCCGCGGGCGGCTCACGGGTGCTAGGGCGGGCGCCGGGCGCTAGGGCGCTAGGGCTGGCGCTAGGGCGGGCGCTAGGGCGGGCGCTAGGGCGGGCGCTAGGGCTCTAGGGCAGGCGCTAGGGTGGGCGCTAGGGCGCTAGGGCAGGAAAAAAAAAAAATCGAAGTGGTGGGCCCTAAGCAAAGTTCCCACAGGGGAACCTGCTCTGATACCATGAGAAGAAGTGAACGAGAGAATGAATGAACTATGAACGAGGTGAGTACAAATAGGAAACCCTAATTGGGTTGTACCCCCTATGGGATACGCCACTATAGCCTACACAAATAAGTAAGCTATTATGTTCTGACAGGTGTTTTATTCTAAAGCCGTGCGTCGCGATAGAGTTGCGAGTTGTCTGATAGTTGTAGAAAAAATAGTGATTGTACTTAACAGATGAATTAGGTTCATTGTTATGTTATTGTATCGTGAATTCAAATTCTGGGTGTTATGTTGTTTTTGTAATCGGTAATTCCAATTTTTTCCTGTGGTATCTTTTTTAATTATTATGTTACATCGTATTACTGGGCAGTATATTGTATTTATCTTCGTTTAATTGTTGGGTAGTATATTGTATTTTGTTTTACTGGTTGGTATTATTCCACTCACATGTTTAATTGGTTAGTGTGGTTTTAATATTGGCAGTGTCGATGCTTATAAACTGCCAGCTCGTGCTTTAGGGAGTTCCTCAAATCGTGGCATTCGAGCAAGAGTTGAGGGTGCAGCTGTCAGGATGGTCAGATTCGCGCCAATTTTGAAAGCGTCGGTCTTCTCACACGTGACCATTGGTTGTACTTGTACCCACTGGCAACCGTGCACCCAGACGTTTCTGATTGGGTGGTGTCAGTACAGCTCCACTTTCACGTTCAGGGTTGCGAAACCGTATTTAACCGCATAGAAAACATATTAATGCGCTATATTATGCACAGCATCGCATTATACCAGAATGAAGTACATACATCAAACAGGATTTCGAGCTGGAGCAGAGACTCGAATCTCCCTAGCAAAATTCTCTCGACATTCGTGAGCACAATAGAGACTAAGTAGTCAGACCCTTGTGCTAGTTAAACCCTGTTACTGTCTTATTTAGTCTGGGTGATCACCTCCGCCGCTATAAATTCCCTCGCGTGTATCTCAGCAGACTTGGCCATCCGCCGTACAGGCAACAAACTAACTACTCGCCACGGGCCAGGAGCGGTTTCGTGTGGAACCTTGTTGCGTTTCTATGCGGGATGTTAGACCAACTGTTGAGAATCACAGGTGTGTCTCCAGACTCTCCCTTCGCAACGCTCCAATACTCCCGTGCCCCTTCACTCCAAACACGACGCGATCGTCGCAATTCTCCCTTCCTGAGGCTCATTCCGTGCACGCCGCGTTCTTTTCCTCTCGTCCGTTCCTCCCTTACCCGCCACGTCGCATTCAGTGTCCCGTCCGCTTCCGGTGCGCGCTGCCGTCTCTTCCTTCTAGACGATTCATCCGTGGCGGACTCGTCCTATTCACCCTCCCGTGCGCGCTTCGTCCCGCCCACCCCGTCCTTTTCTCCCATGCCCGCCGCTTTGCATTATTTCTCCCGTCTGCTTCTCCCGTGATTGTTGTCGTCCCTCCCTCTGTTCCATTCCTCGTATGCCCCATTCCCCCTACCGTCCATTCCTCCCGTTCGCTTTTCGTCGATTCACTGCCATCTGTTTCCCCCATATCCGCGGATTTTGCATTGTCCCTCCCGGGCTTCGTGATTGGCGCGCCTCGCCCCATTTAGCTCCCTACTCTATTGCGCGCCTGTTTCTGTTCCCTATCTCGGCCGATCCTTATTTTCGCGCCTCGTTCGTTCCCTATCTCGTTCGTTCCCTATCTCGTTCGTTCCTCCCTTGCGCGCCTTGTTCGTTCCCTCGTATTCCCTATCACGGACGGTGTCATTTGTCCTGGTCGTCCCAATCTGCCTATTGTCTCTTCCACGCATCCGTGCCTCGTGCATTCCGTGATCTCGTCCGTTGCTTGCATCCGCGCCTCGCTCGTCTCCCCCTCTTGTCCATTCCTTGTTCGTGCCTCGTTCCCATTCCAACTCTCGTCCGATACTCCATACCGCGCCTCGTTCTTTGCTCTCACTAGTCAGATCCTCCCTTCCGCAAGCGTACACTCTCCTTCTCTGCGCCTCTCCTCCATTGAGCGTACCCTCTCATGCCCCGCTGCTCCTCTCTTCCATTGTGTGTGCACTCTCTTTCCCCTCCGCGCCATTCGCATTTTGTCCCCATCATCTCCTCCTGTGCATATACTATCACATACACCGCTGCTCCTCTCCTCCTTTGCGCCTTCTCCTCTTTTTCCGTAAGCCCTCCCTCTCATTCCCCTCTCATTCTCTCATTCCGTGCGCCATCCTTCTCATTCCCCTCTCATTCCCCCCTCAAACTCTCATTCCGTGCGCCTTCACTCTCATTCCCCTCTCATTCTCTCATTCCGTGCGCCTTCACTCTCATTCCCCTCTCATTCTCTCATTCCGTGCACCTTCACTCTCATTCCCCTCTCATTCTCTCATTCCGTGCGCCTTCACTCTCATTCCCCTCTCATTCTCTCATTCCGTGCGCCTTCACTCTCATTCCCCTCTCATTCTCTCATTCCGTGCGCCTTCCCTCTCATTCCCCTCTCATTCCCCTCTCATTCTCTCATTCCGTGCGCCTTCACTCTCCTTCCCCTCTCATTCTCTCTTTCCGTGTGCCTTCGCTCTCATTCCCCTCTCAGTCTCTCATTCCGTGCGCCATCCCTCTCAGTCTCTCTTTCCGTGCGCCTTCACTCTCATTCCCCTCTCATTCTCTCATTCCGTGCGCCATCCCTCTCATTCCCCTCTCATTCTCTCATTCCGTGCGTCATCCCTCTCATTCCCCTCTCATTCTCTCATTCCGTGCGCCTTCACTCTCCTTCCCCTCTCATTCTCTCTTAGGGTGTGCCTTCCCTCTCATTCCCCTCTCAACCTCTCATTCCGTGCGCCTTCACTCTCCTTCCCCTCCCATTCTCTCATTCCTTGCGCCTTCACTCGCATTCCCCTCTACTCCTCTTCTCACGTGCGCGTTCTCTCGTCCCCCTCTGGTTCACTCCTCACGTGCGCGATCTCTCTCGTAACCCTCTATTCTGCGCCGCATTCCTTGCTCTCACTTGTCCCACCCTCCATTCCGCGCCTCGCCCCCATTCCTCGTGACATGTCCTGAGTTTCCTCTCATGCGAGTTTGTCCCATTCCCCTCTGCTCCGCTCCTCCCGTGCGCATGCTCCCTCTTTCCCCTCTGCGCCTATCCGCCCATGCGCAATTTGTCTTTTTCCCCTCTGCTCCTCTACCCCCTTAGCGCCTTCTTGCTCGCTCCCCTCTGAGTCTCTTCTCCAGTGCGCCCTCTCTCTCTTCCCTCTGTTTCTCTTCTAGTGTGCACTCTTTCTCTTGTTCCCGTTTGTTTCTCTTATCATGTGCGCCTACACACGCATCCCCACCTGTTGATCTTCTCTAGTTCTCTGTCTCCATCACTCCTCTCTGTTTCTCTCCTCCAGTGCACCTTCTCTCTCCCGTACGCTCGTCCTCGCTATGCTCCGTTACCTCCTACCCCTTTCATCCTATGCTTGTATTCTCTAGTTTCCCGTTCATCCTGTGATTGCCTTCGCTGGTTTTCCCCTTCCCCATCATCTCATATGCTTGTCTTCTCAGGTTTCGGCCTTCCACTGGCCTCATATGCTTGTATTCTCTGGTTTCCCCTTTCCCCTCCCCACCTATGCATGTATTCTCTGGTTTCCCCCTTCCCCTCCCCACCTATGCATGTATTCTCTGGTTTCCCCTTTTCCCTCCCCACCTATGCATGTATTCTCTGGTTTCCCCTTTCCCCTCCCCACCTATGCATGTATTCTCTGGTTTCCCCCTTCCCCTCCCCTCATATGCATGTATTCTCTGGTTTCCCCTTTCCCCTCCCCTCATATGCATGTATTCTCTGGTTTCCCCTTTCCCCTCCCCTCATATGCATGTATTCTCTGGTTTCCCCTTTCCCCTCCCCTCAAATGCATGTATTCTCTGGTTTCCCCCTTCCCCTCCCCTCATATGCTTGTATTATCTGGTTTCCCCCTGCCCCCGCCCTTCAAGTCGCTTGTCTTCTCTAATTTCCCCTTCCCCTGCCCTCCTAAGCTTGTCTCCTCTTGTTTCTCCCTTCTCCTGTCCTCGTATGCCTTTCTTCCCTGGCCTCCCCCTTCCCCCGCCCTTCAAGTCTTGTCTTCTCCCGTTTCCCCCTTCTCCCCTACTCCCAAAATTCTGGCAGATGTCATTTCTCTGCCCAAGATGTCGTCTCTGTGCATTCGACACTCGATCAGGTTTGGGACGCCACATGCAGAGCAACTCCTGCCCTGCAAACCTCATTAGCAGTAGCGAGCAGCTGCAGGCCCCCAAGCGCGCAAGGTCGAGCTTCATCCCTCCTAACCCCATTCCGCGTGCAGTACTTAGGTTGGAGCCTGTGCATGCAAATGTAGGAACGGGTGTTGCGGAATATGTGTGTATTGATGTACCTCCTATTTCTCGTGCTGATCCAACAGACACTAGTGATACTTCCTCATCCTCTGATTCAGTAGATAGCGTGCTGCCCTTTGAACAAGATGACGATGCGTCTAGTAGCGCTGCTGTATCTGGTGCTGATGATGATGGTGGGGAGGGAGCTCAAGCAGGTGTTGCACTGGCGGAAGAGGAAGATGCCCCTCAGTTTAACCTCAAGGATGCTCTTGCGCGCAGGATCCTCTCCAACCGACTCTCTATCAGTCAGATTAACGCTCTGTTGGAAATCCTGCGTAAGACCATTCTTGAAATACAAGATTGGAAGTCCTACCGAGACGTGCAGGCGTACGCTAAGTCTAGGGCGACGGATGGCCACTGAGGTTGGCGACGAAAGACCATCCGGTCACGTAACAAGGCTTGGCTGGAGTATTGGTATTGTGATCCGTTGATTGCTCTACAGGACCTGTTGAAGAACCCCAAGCTGGCTGCCAAGATGGTGTTCCATGCAGATCCTCAATATGTGGGGAACGTGAGGGTGTACAGTAACCCCGAGACAGGCCTATGGTGGGAGAGGTTGCAAACTTTGGTGCGGGAGGAGGATCCGGATGGAGTTGTGGCTGCTTTGATCCTTGCGAGTGACGAGACGCATATGGATCATAGAGGGAAGGCGAAGGGTCATCCTGTGTATCTCACGTTGGGTAACATTGATAAGGACGACAGGTGGCAACCCTCTGGGCACGTGCTACTAGCACTGCTCCCTGAGTTTCTTGCAGAGTACAACGTAGTGGACAAGATGCAAGTCCACAATTACATCATGCGAGAGGTGCTGCAATCTCTTAAGACGGCATCCTACACCGGCATAGCTATGAAGAATGCTGTAGGCGAGTCAATCAACGTGTGGCCCTATTTGTACGCTTATGTGTCGGACTACCCAGAGTCGTGCAAGATCACGTGCACGAAATCCTTGGGTACTTTGTTTCCGTGTTCGATTTGCAAGGTGGACAAGAAGCACTTGGCAGTGCTGCAGGATCGTATCCAAGCTCGTACACCATTCGAGCAGAATACCATTGTGCGAGACATCTTAGAAGGCTGGCTTGCACTAGATGCAGAGGCAACCTTCTCCACCCACCCTGTGCAGGTATAGTATGCTGTGGGTGCTGTTTTAGGGTCATTCTATGGGCTATACCATGTGCAGAACTAACCTCTAGGTGCTGGTTCTGTTTTTTGCAGAGTTTCCTAGGTGGCTGGAGGTGGGAGTCCGATACCATTCTCAACCCGTACCTTGCAGTGCTGCCCGATGTGATGCACCAAGAAGGTTTGGGCATTTACGAGCACATTGTCGACTTTATTCGCGCGCATGTGAAGTTAATGGCAGATAGAAAGAAGCTGGACAGGATCCTTAGGTACTACAAGAGAAGTATTAGAGGGGGGAACATGCGTTTACCCGCGGGTCAGTACTTCGAAAAGGGGGCGAACTATCAGGCATACGAACACCGGTCGGTCATGTAGACTCTGCCCTTCATCGTGAAGGTTTTTATTACGCAGCCGAAGATGGACGCACTCGTCTCATACATCGAGTGGTACCTCGAGTGCGCGTGGGCATCGGAACACACTGACACCTCCCTCCTTGAGTTCAAGACAAAGGCACACCGGTGAGTAGTATAGTTCACAGTGTGTTGCGTTCATTCTCCGACTGCTTGCTAAATATTGATCGACATGTTTTGGCCTATACGCAGGATGTTACACAACCTCAAGACCGCATTCCCGCACACGTCGGATTGGAACTTCATTAAGATGCACCTCATCAGTCACTACATAGACTCCATTCGTAGATCGGGCTTGCCCGAGCATTATTCTGCACAACTATACGAGCATCTGCATATAGAGTACATAAAAAACCCTTACCGGGCATCGAATAAACGGTCAGTCAATAGCCAAATCGTCGGCAGCAAAGAGGCACGGCTTCGTCTTCAGTATATCGCGCCACAACTCATGGCGAAGAAGAAGTATGACACCGCCATGGTGAAGGTAAGAACTAGACTTATGTGTATGGTTCTTGATTATTTCCATCGAGCATGGAATACACGTAACGAGATGATGGTGGTGTTCCATGCCTGCAGGCCCAACGGACAGGCGAGCGGGTTCTATCCAAGAGGAGTTGGGCATTGTACGTGCCAGAAACACGTGTTGGAGCCCCATACCCTCACGTACCGGACGCGAAGCGTGATGGCCCGTTGCAGGCCATCATCGGCGAGGAGTTGAAACACGCGTGCGGCATTGGATAGGGCACCTGGCTGTGACGGCAATGGGGAAGCTATCAAGGAAGTACATGTATGTACGACGTCCAGTCCTGCCCCGTCGTAGCTTTTGTAACCGTACCCAAACAATATGACTCTTCTTGTTGACGGTACCTTTGCAGGTCCACTGGGAACTCGCCATGCCAGCTGCGGTTGATGCGCAGTATAGTCGCCTGCCGCACCACATCCGCGCCCTGCCCATGCACCACGGTCGTCAATGGTTTTCTGATGTGGCGGTCAAAGGTGAGGGCTCAGACGGGGACGAGGAGTGGTTTGCGAAAACCCTTCTGTTGTTTCATGCCAAGGTTGCGAGCACGGTTAAAAACTATGCATTCGTGAAGTACTACAGGGAACAGGCCAGCGTTGATGCAGCCACCAAGTGCAAGGTTTTGCACTGGGAGGGAGTTAATCAGAGGTACCGAGTAATCAGTATTGATAGCATCAAGCGCGTGGTACAGTTAGTGCGACCGGACAAAGACGCTGAAAAGTGGTTCGTTAATAGGTTTGCGTGGTGAAAACTTCATACTCGGTAGTATATTTAAGTGGCCTGGCAGGCAAAGAAAGCCATCTAGGTTGCCTTAGCCTTTTAAGAGTCAAATACTTCAATCTGTATTTTATATTACGTTCCCAATTCGTTTGCAATCAGTACCAGACAGCATACTTTGTCCCGCTTCATCGTTATTAAGTCATCATCGATGCAATGGCAGCTGCCATACGCAACACCGTCAGACAAGGATAACTGCCTCGTGTTGCGCACTGTGGGGTGCACCTGAATGTGGATGGCGGTGTCGCACTAGTCGGTCGAAATCTTCCAGTTGCCAACACAGATGGTGGCAGCTTCCGATTGGTTCATTATGCGGCAATAACAGTCGTGTTGGCAGCACGATAGTCGAAAACGAGACACATTCAGGCATTTTCTCCAGCTACGTGCCACACTGCGCGCCGCACAAGCGTGACATCAGCTCTGTTGGAGTCGAGGTCTGCGCAGTGGCGACGTTTGTCTCACCTGCACCTTTCGAAGTGGTGCTTGTACGAGATGGAAACTTTTAGTTGTAAACTAACCGCTTGACCGCGACCGTGGTTGTTCCATTTGCTTTCGAGTAAATATCAAACAAGTTTGTGTTTGACGCGCAACTGTGATTTCAACACATTTTTTCGTTCACACCACGCTAGATCACTACAGTTTGAAAGATCATAGTTTCATAGCATAGTTTGTGGGTGTGTTTTTTAGTTTAGGCACGTTAATCCACATATATGCATGTTACCTTGCTTCCTCGTTCGCCGAATCAAAGTTCACAGTAACATTTTCCGAGAAAAGGCATGGGAAACAATTGACATATGGGATTGAGAAGTCGCAAACATTCACTGTGTCGCTAAAAAATTCAGATAATAAGCCGTGCGAAAAAAAAGCTCATGGCTGGTTGCGTCGTGGCATTTTCCCCATTTGGTAAGTTTAACTGGTCATCAACCATCACTATCCTCAAACCTATGGCTCAGAATGGGGGACAGTTAGTGCGGGCAGGCACCGGGAAAAGAGTTTTGCTAGATCCAGCAGGGGTCACCTTGCCCCATTCTCATTCTGCTCTCAATCTACTCGATGCCTCTGCACTGTCACAGCTGGGAGATGACATTCTTACAGAAGAGAATAAGAGGCGGCAGTTAGCTAAAGAGGCTGCTTTAAAAACAGCTGCAGTCAACACTCTCCACGGCGCTCCCACAGTTGGTAAGACGGCAGCTGCAGGCCGTCGGGGCGGGTCTAAGAGGAAACGTGCTGCCGCCGGCTCTGGTGCGAGTGGTCGATCCTCTAGTGCGAATGGCAACATTCCTGTAGGCTCGCCATCCGCTGACAGCCCTACCGCCGGCACTTTGTCAGAAGCAGAAGGCGCGAACCCTGCATTGGTGGCAGAAGCAATGGACACCACGCAAAACGGCGCACCAACCACACGCGGCATAGTCTGCGGTATCGCGTCAGACGCAGATATTGGAGCTCTCCCTGCACCCCCCGTGCCTGCCGCCGGAGCCCCGGGTCCGATGATGGCAGTAGTGATTGAGGCCGCAGAGGAGGGCGGCGTGGATCCCTTCATCGCGTACGGCATCGAAGCTGGTAGCGACGACGAAGACGGGAACTACGACGATGCAGATGATGTTGACGGCGTCCAAGCGGGAAACGACGATGAGTTGCGCGCAGTGGAGGTTCGCGCTGCGGAAGTGTGCGCGGCGAAGGTTCGGGCGGTGGAGGTTCGGGCGGCGGAGCTTCGGGCGGCGGAGCTTCGGGCGGCGGAGCTTCGGGCGGCGGAGATTCGGGCGGCGGAGATTCGAGCGGCGGAGATTCGGGCTGCGGAGGTTCGCGCGGTGGAGGACCGCGCTGCAGCGGTTCGAGCGGCAGATGTGCGCTCTGCAGAGGCTCGCCAGACGGAGCTGGCGCCGCACACCTCGCAGCCTAATAACCCGACAGCACCCGTTAGGCGTGAGCGGTCGCAAGGCAAGCAAACGCAACACGCTCATAGCTACGGTGCCAGTTCTTGAATTGTTGCTTAACTCCATCCTACGTTTCCCCCCCCCGGCCCCCCACTCGCCCCCTCCTCTCGCCAATGTGTTATGCATTTTATTTCTATGAGCTGAGCTCCGTTGTTCATAACGTCGGCTGGATGACTATCTAATTGTTCTTTCCACTTGCTTGTTGTCTGCCTTTCTCGATACATGTTATTCCCGGGGCTTGTCCCGTAGTTGCTGGTGCGCACCATTTCAGGGAAGCACAACAGCTGGAGGCACAATTGCGTGACCTGCAGAACACGGTCTCCACTCTAAACGCGCAGCTGCAGGAGGCAAGGGCCAGGATCAAGGCGGTGGAGGCTGAACGCGATAGTCTGAAAACGCAGTTGGAGTCGATGCAGCGACAGCTTTCAGCGGAAGTCGCTGGAACGAGCTCGGACGTGGGCGCCCTTCGGGACCCTTCTGACCCCCTGGTCCGAATGGAGAACGTCCGTAAGGACATTGCGGGCAACCCGACCATTCTGTCATCAGTCACCAGCAATGATGCATTCGATGTAAGTCAGTTAACCGAGGTGCCATTCTGATAGTATGTATTTTCGGATGTGCTGTCCTTTTATGTCTTGCAAGTTCTGTCTTTCAACCCGCCCCCAACCCTTCCTCTCGCTACCGCTCTCGGCCCGTCCACCACTTCCTTCTGTCCGTCTTTTGTGAGTCCCGTCCACAAACTTGTGTGTAGCATGTCCGGTGCCTGAAATTTAACCCCCTCCTCACCCTTGTGCGTCCTTGTGTTGATTGTCTGGAAATGGTGGGTAAAACCTTCGCCTGGCTCATCACCCTTGCCCCTGCAGGAGAGATGGAGTTCTATCCTCTGTGGGAAGAATTCCAACCGCATTTGGTGCGCAAGTACATAGCTGAGGGGACCACGCAAGATGAGTACTACCTCTTCATGGGCGGGAACAGCAAGCGCATTGATCGGGCGCTGAAGGTGATTGGCTGCAAACGCGCGAACATGAACAAGCCGATCAAGCTCTAGGCGTGGGGTGCTGGTGGTACCTTTTGAAGTTTGGTGGCATCACTCCATCAAAGGCGCGCAACGAAAAGGAGTGGGTGGAGCAGTTCAAACACCGTGAGTGTGCTTGTCTTTTCTCACATCCGCACCATGCTGGAATGTTCTTGCGCACAGATCTGATTGCCATTGTTTTTATCTCCGCAGCGAAGTATGGCTACGACTGGCATTGCTCTGCTCAGGGCCGCCCTTTCGCGAATGCAGCCTTTAAGCTGGCAGTCAAAAAGGCATTCGTCAGTGCCCGGTGCAACATGTTTGCAGTGAAGATTCCAGCGGTCGGCTATCTGTGCAACGTGGTAAGATGTCACTTTTGTTATTTGATCCAGTTTGTTTCCCCCTGCATATTGTTCTTAACTTAAGCGCCTTTCATTGGTGGCAGGTTGAATGGCCATTGGAGAACCACAAGGGCAAGAAGGGCCATGCATCTCTGGACAACAATGAGACCAACAACCGCAACAACGTCCATGCCAAGACGAGGGTGGTTGCTGCCTGGCTGAAGGAAACCCTTGAAAGGGAGCCTGCCACGTTCAAGATCGATGAGCCCATGGGGTTTGAGATGGGCATTAGGAAAGTTAGGATTTTGATAGAGGGATATGAGTTGTTTTTCTTCCCCTCAGGGGTCGTTCCAACCCCCTGGCCTCCAATTAACAACCTGTGAATACTTTCTAAATGTAGTAGGTTTTTTCTAATTGATGATTTTATGATTTAGAGTATTATGTAATCACTAATTCTGCAGAATTATATCAACCTTTTTATATCGTAGTCAATGCAGTTTTATATCAATGTAGCAATAATATTAAATATATTGAGATCTGTTGCATACAATCACGTCACTTTATTTTCCACACCAGTGACTATATTGAGTTGTTAATTTCCAGGAATGCAACGAATTCCTCGATAACGAGCTGAAATATTTAGTTTAGCACGTTACAATTGAAAATTAGTTGCTCAGGTAACCATATCGTAAACGCCAGCACATCTTCCCAATTGTTCGTCGCAACGGTGTGTACCACCAGTTCCTGCCCTAAACCGATGTTGTTCCTACAGTCCACGTGGCCAATCGAAGCTGACACCTTGAGCTGATTTCGACCGCAACCTGCAGAATCCGTTCGTTGTTGCTGCATCAACCACCACACAACCGAACTTACCTTCGGACCGAAAAGTGGTTATCAACCAGCGTTGACAGCACCACCTGTTTTGGGCAGATTATTGCCTCATTAACTAGGCAAGCGGAACACGACAGTCAACTCCCACGCTCCTTCACCTCCTCGACTGTTTACTGCCCCAAACTGGGCGGACATTTTTCTGATGCCGAAAGGTCGTCATCCCCTACGATGCCTTCGGACTGGGCGGCGGCCGCGGGCTTCATGTGCTCCAGGCCGCACGCAGAGATGCGCAGGCCATGGCGCCCCCAAATCCACGCCTCGCGCTCCGCGTCATACTCGGGGTTGCGGATACGGATCGCCCTCTCCACGTCCTCCTTGACCAGGACCTTGAGCCCATCCACAACGTGGGCGTTCCCGCCCGCCAAGTTGGAGAGCCGGCCTTTCCGCGCCTCCCAGTAGAGGACGCATTCGGAGACCTGCGCCCAACACAAAAAGCGTCAGTCCATGCATTTCCAGTAGGATGCACACCATTGCACACATCGCGCGCACACACTCACCACATGCTCCAACCAGGCTAGGTGGTACACCTTAAGGGTCATCACCAGCCCTGCCTTCTTTGGCTTGAAGGCAGCCTTCGGACATGTCGCGAACGCCCGGGAGGCAAACAGCATGCCATCCCTGTCGTGCGCCCAGCTCGTCAGCACTAGAGCTTCTGCACACCACATCCGAAGCGTGGGTATCAATGTCCACAATTCTCGCATTGGTGCATGACTAGAAACGGTCGACGACTCCAACGCGCGTCTCATGCACTCACCAGGGGGGTCAGCGCCAAGCCCAATGCGCTCCCTTATCTTCTCGATACTACGCTCCTTTTCAGGTGCCCACGGGCTGGATGCGTCCCTGTCGTCCCGGAACAGGCCGAGCTTGGGAAGTGCAATGTCTCGCACGCGAGCGGCAGCCCTTGTCTTCCACTCCGACAGCGTCTCGTTGAGATCCGCCCGTCGCGACTTGTCAGCCGCCAACGCCAAACAAGCGAAGCTGTGAAGGCAGGCGGTCCAGCACCGCGCACACTATGTGAGTCTTATGGTCGCTGCTCGGGTAGAAGGTCATCAACGACGTGGGCCTGTTGAGAAACATGTGAACTCTGGCCAGCTCGCAAACCCGCTGCGCACCCATAGTATACACCATCACCAACATCAGCATTCACTGTGGACCATCAACGGGTACAGAGTGCAACCCAATCCGAACGGGAAGTTACTGAACCGAGATGGAAACATGCCCGCTCACCTTCCACGCCTTGTCTGTCGGCAGATGCGCCAACGCGCGTTGCAGAATAGGAGACTTTGCAGTATGCATATGACGACCACCAGAACCATGCGTATCTTTCTCGTCGTCCTCTCCGTCATCGTCCAACCCGCCGCTCCATGTCTCGCCATGCTTACGCTTGGGTTCATGCACCCCTGCTCCGGGTCTCTCTGCTTCCGAGCCTTACGCTTACGAGATCCACCAGAATGCTGCGCCATTGCATTCAAGAACAGTGCCTCCAACCGCGTGTTCTCCTTGCCGCTCCTGTCCTGAGCCTGGATGAGTTGCTCGAGAACCCTGCTCGAGATGCGCACGTCATCGCCGTCGGTGTCCACTGGGGTCCCGCATGCGCGGTCTACATGCACGTCCACATGTCCTCGACCTTCGCCCCGAAACACATCCGTCTCCCCCGCGCCCCAACTTTCGCGCCCGTCTGCTTTGGGTGAAGCGGTTCCCGCACACCCATCATCGGCCGTCTTCCCTCCAGTGGCAGGTTCGCCAGATTCTTCGGGTGAGGCTGAGGCCGATGTGTCTGAGTCTGCCTCGCCATCCTCTTCATTGCGCTCGGACGATGAAGCACTCTCTGCACCAGTGCCGTCATCTGCGATGATACAGAGGCTCCAGACAAGCACGGTACCACATGTCAGCTATACTTGTTGTACACGGGGGTTCATACATATAGACAATGCAAACACTCGCATTAATACAACGAGTCACCCATCCACGCTCTTCTTGCATACCTTGCTCATGCTGTACCACCTCGTTTCCCTTCTTGGCCACGCTCAAACGCTTAGGCAGTGTCGGCCCGCGTTTCCCGTTCGAAAACCGACCGCGCGGCATTGTCAGCTGATACGACGCTCGGAGGTACGCCGGCGGGTTAGATACACGACGGGCGCGCCCTCCCGTCCAAGTATCCTCTAAAGCAAGCGAAGTATTCATTGTAGCAACAATAGTATCCAGTGAGATGCTCACAGAATGACGCGCGGCTCTATACTTCTACGTATAGCTTCCGCTCAACTTCTTAACACACCGGAGCCCATCTTGGGCAGTGAGTTTGGTAGGCAATACGACTTCGTGGCCATTTGGATGACCGCAATCCAAAACGGCTAATACATGCACACCACGTCATCCGCCGCCATGTACATGTGTGTACACATGAACCACACACCGCGCACATCTTGGCGACACAACCGTATCGTTGGAACTCGTTTGTGAGTACATCCTGTCTCACGGAAGTATTCACTGCGCACGTTGTTGACGTACATCCTTTCACTATACATCTCACCAATTGCACGTTACACTAGCACACAATGTACCAACAATTGAGCTCCATTGTGTAAGCAAGAGCCTTCGCACCCATCAATCGCGAATACAAGCAGAAAATTTGACGCCCTGCACATCTCTAACTGCATTTTTCGCAAAACATACTGTACAATTGCAATCATGTGTACGTCTATGCATCTACATCAACTATGCAGGATGGTCTGCCAACTTCTCATGTGCAACAAAGTCTTCCACACCCTCCTCGGCTTCGTTGTGCCGAGCACACCCGCTGCTGCCGTTGTGCACAGGGGCCGTTCCCCCACTCTCAGCATTGTCAGGGTCGTCTGGTTCGTTGGCCGCCTTGTTGTTGCTATCCACCACCCTCTGCCTCTTTGACGTGCGCGTGGCAACCACTCGCTTCCTCCCTCGTTTCAGCTTCCAGTTCACGCCCTCCCGCGCCTCCCTCCAGCTCCGCCACCACCACCTCTGCGCTTCCACCAGGAGCTGCAGATCTTCCTTGGTGCATCCACGCAGCATCGCCTTCTCTGCAGCTGACAGACTGGCCGTGTTGGGTATCTTGTCTCGTGGCCTCAGGACGAATGCACCTGCGGCGTACGCAAACGCCGCATCCTCCTCCGATGTGTATGCACCCAGCCGGTGTTGCTTACGCTTTCCTCCTTCCTTGATCAGGATCTTCACGCCGAACTGCCTGATGCTTTCTCCAACTTGACTCCTGTGTACTTCGTTGCACACGTGTCGTCACCATCCTCTTCGTCCTCCGTTTCTGACACGAGATCCTCTTCTTCTTCTGCCTTCACCGTCTCGTGGCCGCTCGTATCTCCCCACGCATCAGCTCCAGCCAGCACCGTCACCCCGAGCAGCGGTCTCCCGCGGGTGAACATCCAGTGAGGTATGGTCCCTCCCGACAGCAGCGGGTTTTGCAGCAAGCGCGCTGTCGGATCACATGCAGCGAACGAGGAGGCCAGCGCAACACGGGTGGCATACCGTACGCCATCCTCCTCTGGACTGCTGTCATCACGCCTCTTGCAACCGGATGGACGCTGTGGAGTGTGTGGGGCATTCTTGGTGCCACCTGCCTCTGCTTTCGCGCCGGATCTCACGGGGTTGCCTTGCATCAGTAGTTGGGTTGCAGCGGACACCACCTCGTCGCGCCTCAATCCCACAAAACTGGCTATGACGGTGAAGCTCGCGTCCAGGTACATCACATCGTTCTTCATAGTTGCCATTTCCCTCATCATCGCCGTTACCCGTGAGTCATCCCCGGCTTGAGTGACCGGTGCTTGCCTCACATCTTCCATACCAGCGTTCCTCTCCCGCACCACTGCCCCCCCCCTCTGTTACCCGGCCTGCGTCTTGCAGGGGAATTTTGATCCCCAGCGCTTCCAACTGCTGAATGAGATCTCCGGTCGCGTGTGCGCACAAGTCGCGCCGCATCTCTCGCCGGTATTGGTTTGGCGTCACACCCTGAAACTAGAGCCCGCTCAATAACGTGGTGAAGCCGGACATCACCAGGGTCTTCAGGTACTGGCAAACAAAAATTCCACAGTCCTGCTTGTTCGGCTGCTGTGGCAGCTTATTCTCCTGCACTTCGACAAACGCACACTACAGTTAGTAATCCGTCTGCCCTCGAAAACATTGTGCACACAGGTATGCGCATTCACTGGTACCCTCACCCATAATATTATGCACTCCGCCTCCAACAGCTGCTTGTCCACAAACTCCATGTTCGCGTCAAGGTTACTCGCCTTGGCGAGTTCGGACAGCACTCTGCACGTTACAAGCCGAAATCGTTAAAACAAGTTCTGGGTTGCTACCAGCGACATGCAACGTCGACAGTGAACCCCGTACTCACAGCTTGGTGCCTGCAAAAATCATGGGGGTGTTCCTTGTCTTTATGCTATTGTCCAGTAAGACCAACTTCATTCGCTCTTTGCCTTCGGATTTCGCGGACTTGGTAAGCACCGATGGAGATACAGCGATGATGAGCGAGTAGTGCTCCCTACGCTCAACATGAGAGGGTATGTTGGGATAAGGGTTAGACAACCATCGGTGTCATGCTAAAGAATCCGCTCACGAACCGGATATTTGTGATGCGTACCCCACTAGCATAGGGATCGCGAGATAGTCGTGCTGCAGTAGCAGAAGCCCGTTCCCCAGCGTCAAAGGCGCACCACACGAGTTCGTCTGGAAGTACGCCTTGCAGTCCAAGGCAGCCCATGTTTTCCCCGTCACGAAGAGTCGGCTTCCGGATGCTAAGCAACCTGCACAGTTAATGAACAAGAAAAAACAAAGCGTATAAGATGTTGCCCATACATCAGATACTATGCAACAAAGCGTCAACCAGGTGACCGCCGTGACGATACTTATACGTTGTGAAAGTCTAGCACGCCATCAGTAATCCACTGATCATCCTCGATCGACATGAGGTCGTCCTTTTCCACCTCACACCCGACGCCGCGGTGATTTATAAGCGTCATGTTTCTGTACGAAGACTTCATGAAATTCCGTGCGACGAGGGCCACCAAATCTTCCGGCACCTGCTCCCGCGCCGTATCCTCCTTATGAGTAGCAAACTGTCAGAACATTGTAGCTTATGCTTTTGTGTAGGCTATAGTGGGGTATCCCATAGGGGGTACAACACAATTAGGGTTAGTACTTGTACCCACTTCATTCATAGTTCATTCATTCGCGTTCACTCTTCCACATGGAATCAGAGCAGGTCCCCTCCTAGGGACTGTTCCCAGGGCCCACCGAAGCGCGCCCCGAGGCGTGCGTTCCTATTTTTTTAGCGACCCTCCGTGTCGCCCCTAGCGGCCCGCTCCGCCGCCCTTACCTACGTGGCCCCGCCGCTCTTACCTACGCGGCCCCACCGCCCTTACCTACGCGGCCCCGCCGCCCTTACGTCGCGGCCCCGCCGCCCTCACGTCGCGGCCCCGCCGCCCTTACGTCGCGGCCCCGCCGCCCTCACGGTCGCCCCGCCGCCCTCAGGTCGCGGCCCCGCCGCCCTCACGTCGCGGCCCCGCCGCCCTCACGTCGCAGCCCCGCCGCCCTCACGTAGCGGCCTTGCCGCCCTTACGTCGCGGCCCCGCCGCCCTCAAGTTGCGGCCCCGCCGCCCTTACGTCGCGGCCCCGCCGCCCTCACGTCACAGCCCCGCCGCCTCACCTTCGCGGCCTCGCCGCCCTCACCTTCGCGGCCCCGCCGCCCTCACCTTCGCGGCCCCGCCGCCCTTACCTACACGGCCCCGCCGCCCTTACCTACGCGGCCTCGCCGCCCTTACCTACGCGGCCCCACCGCCCTTACGTCGCGGCCCCGCCGCCCTCACGTAGCGGCCCCGCCGCCTCACCTTCGCGGCCCCGCCGGTCTCCCCTCCTGCCGAGCCGCCCGAGCAGCCGCCCGCCACGCCGCCCAGTACCGGAGCAGCCGAGCCGCCCAGCAGCAGCCGCAGAGCCGCCGGGCCGCCGAGCCGCAGTACAGCCGAGCCGCCCAACAGCCACCGCCGAGCCGCCGAGCCGCCGAGCCGCAGTACCGCCGAGCCGCCCCGCAGCCGAGCCGCACTACTGCCGAGCCGCCCGACCTGCCCTGTCTGGTGAGCACAGCCCCACTGCTACTGCGTGCCCTTCCCCCACTGCTTGCACTGCTAGTCTGTCGTCATGGCTACCCCTAGTGTCCTCGCTTTTGACGCTGAGGGTCGAGCCATTGACTTTGAGGTCTGGGTCGACGACCTGCAACTGTTTTTACAGTGCGATAGGGCGGACGGTCTTTCTCTCTTTGACCTCACCTCTAGCGCCTCCCCTGCTCCTGCTGCTGATGCTGACCCCACTGTTCGCTCTCAGTGGGCCACCCGCGATGCTGCTGCACGTCTTGCTGTGCGTCGCCACCTGCCTACCACTGAGCGCGCGCACTTTAGTCAGTACAAGAGTGCTCAGACCTTATACGACGCTGTAGTTGCGCGCTACTCTTCCCCTGCCACTACTGCACTGAGCCGCCTCATGCTACCGTACCTCTTTCCTGACCTTGCTGCCTTTCCTACAGTCGCTGACCTCATCACGCACCTCCGCACTTCTGACACTCGCTGCGTTCTGCGCCAAGAACCCCCCCCCCCATGTACATCGCTCTCTATTACATAGTCACTCGCCTCCCTGACTCCCTTCGCGTAGTCAGGGACCACTTCCTCTCACTCTGTCCCACCACCCTCACTATCGACCTCCTCGAGAAGGCCCTCCTAGCGGCAGAGAAGAGCATAGTCGCTGTAGGAGCCTCTCGTGGTGACCCGCGCACCCCCATCTTTGAGGGGTGTTCTCCTTCCCCCCTACTGCCCTCTGTTGCCTCTGCTGCTGCTGCCGACCTGCTTGGTCTTGAGTCGGTCGGCGCGGCGTCTACCCCTAGCGGGAGACGCCGCCCTGGCAAGGGCAAGGGGGGCAAGGGCGCAGGTGGAGCTGGCGGGGGCGGTGGAGGTGGCAGTGGCGGTGGCGGAGGGAGTGGGGGTGGCGGTGGGAGAGGTGGTGGGGGTGGTGGTGGTGGTGGCGGCAGCGGAGGCGGCGGCAGGAGCGGAGGT